AGGGGCCAGGGGCCAGCCCGTGACCCCGCGTGACCCGGGCGGACCGCGCGCTGCTGCCCGTGGCTGCGCAGGACCAGGACGGGCTGCAGGACGGGCCACTGGACAGTCCCCCGGAGGCGGCTGTGCCGGCCCAGCCGCCAGCCTTCCTTCCGTCGATTTCCTTCCCGCGCTCGCCTCCTTTGTCTCCACCGCTCCCGGGTTTCAGGGTAGATCCCAGGCCGGTAGTTTCTTGGATCCTTTCGGTTGTGAGCGACAGAAAGAGCTCAGAGCGGCTGTAACAGGGACGGCGGCTATCGCTTCTTTCCCTTTCCTCTGGCCAGCCTGACAGAGGGCACTCCGTCAGAGCCACCCTGACTCCTGCCCACTGACCAGCGGGGGCACTGACCAGCGGGGGCACTGACCTGCAGGGGGACCCAGGCCTGCCTGCCTGGGTGGGGAGAGGGAGGGGCTGCTGCTGGTCCGGAGGGAAGTGGAGGGCTGACCAGTGGCAGCATGACCAGTGGGAGCTGGTCACTCTGGGAGGGGAGTCAGGGGGGCAGAGGTCTGGCTGTCGGCCTCTGGTCCTCAGCCCTGCTCCGCCCTCTAGAAGGGCCTGCTCCTGACACCGTCCCGTCAACTGGATGCTCACATTTGGCAGCAGCCAAGTAGGAGACCCATGCAGAGCCCAGCCTGGCTTCCAGGTGGGCTAGTGGCTCAGCGGCCTTGTCCCAGGCCTGCTCTGCCCACCTCACCACTGGGCAGGCAGCCAGCTGGGGGGGAAGCCATCAGTCAGAGGAACGTTCACAGCACACCTGCCACAGCGATGGAGACAAAGGAGCATCGCGCCTTGAGCAGCGGAGACGCGCAAGGCTGACGGCAGGTGCAGAGCAGATGTGGGCGCGGTGGTCTCCTACCCTGGAGAACCCAGCTGAGAGTCGCTGCCCTGCCCGCCGGCTGGCAGAGCCTCCAGCCTCCGGAGAGGTCCCCAACACGGCGTGGCCGCCCCAGCCAGGGGACACCAGTGTCCCACGAGGCCTTTCTTACTTTCATGGAAGGCCCTGCAAATGGCGGCCGTGATGGGGGGCCGAGTACCAAGGGTAAGGGCCTAGGGCCTAAGCAGAGTCGAGGGCCCGGTGGGGGGCAGGGTGTGAGAGCTCAGACCCGGAGCCAGCTCCCAGAAGCCAGGAGGGCGAGCTTGTCCTGGCACCTGTTTCCTCGGGGGGCGTTCAGAGCCCTCTGTGAGCCCCACCTGGTACCCTGTCACCTCACCTCTGAGAGTGTGATGGGGGCCATGGCATCTGACGCGTTGCCTGGAGCTTGGCAGCAGGAGCAGCTGGGAAACTGTTGCCCAGCCTTGGGGTCCGGCCCACCCTTCTCCAAGACCAGCAAGAGGAAGCCACTGTCCTGCTGGGCTGGAGGAGCTTTGCTCTTCCTGCCTCCCCCACAAAGGACTGGTGAGCAGGCGAGCTCTGCAGGGAGGGCCAGCTGCCAGCACCCAGGCCCTCTGTCCTCGCCGGGACCGGGGTGTTTTTCCGGCACCCTGGGAGTGCGGGGGGCGTGGGGAGCGGGGGTCTATAAGTGAGCAGCTTATCGAGAGTCCCTGAGAAGCAGGTGGATGGGAACCTGCACGCCTCTCATTTCCTCTATCACTCCTGATGGCCAGTCCTCACCTCGGCGGTCCACACAACCAGGGAGGTGTGTAGCCCTGCCAGTCGTCAGCACCCCAGCTCCGAACCACAGGGCCCCCCTGCCCCGTGCACCGCTTGGCCTCACCTATGCGGCGTGCTGACGCAGGAGCCTGACCGGCCAGGAGCTGCCCACGGTGATCCCGGCTGGCTGACCCCGCCGGGCAGCCCAGGGGGAGAGGCTGGAAGCAGAGTGAACACGGCTCTTCGTCAGCTTATTTTTAGCCAAGTTATGTAAGTGGCTTCGTCTCAGCGTCACGTAGGGAGGGGGTCTCAGATTTAATTACAGGATGACAGCCTTGGTTTCTCGAGCAAGCTGTTCTCTTGGCGAGGCAGGCCCAGGATTTGTGAATTCCTGCTAAACAGAAGCGCCCTTTCCGAGGTGACCGCCCAGCAAAACTTCGGGCAGTCTCCTCCTCCGTGCCTCTCTGGCCAGTCTGCCCCGGCTTGGCTGAGCCTGGCCCAAGGGGGTGGCGATTTGTCTCAGATCACAGGGAAACTCTGTGCCTGTGAAGGGAGCTGCCTCTCTCCCCCTCCTTCCTCCTGGCAGCCTCCATCCAAGAGCAGGATCTACCCAATCAGAACTCTTCCTCTTCTTCCTGGATTGAAGCACTTGTCACCAGTAACCAGAAAGTTCCAGAGCAGGAGAGACCAGAGGCGAGAGCCCCTGGGGACAGGCGTCAGGTTCGGGGCCTCGTCTTGCCCATCCTTGGCCTCCCTGCTTCCTCCCTCCACCCCAGGTGTTCCGGGCAGCCGGCTGGCCAGAGTCACCAGGGAAAACTATCCAAATTGTGTCCAGAGTACTGTTTCCCGGCTCCCGGCCAGGCCCACATTCTTTGTGCCTTGGCGTTATCAGCAAGAAAGCTCGGAGGCGCCTGGGACTGGAGCACACAGGCGGGAGCCCTGCCTCCTGCAGCAGGAGGTCACCTCAGCACCTCTGGCACAGGTGGCTTTGTCCAGCGTAAAACGTGGAGCCAAGCTTCCTGACACGGTGGGGCCTGAGGTCCACAGATGGGTTGTGGTAGAGAGTGGGTGCAGAATCGAGGGGGAGTCATCAGGAGCCGGTCACTGGGGCATCGGCAGCATCAACTGCCCCACGGGCTTGGGCAGATTTTTGGTGTCTCCAGGCCCCACCTGTAAGTGGAGCCAGCAGGTATCCGCTGCAGCAGAGCCTATAGGCAGGAGTCCAGGTGTAAACAGGGCGGGAAAGGCCTGGAGAACTGGACCTGGCATGCGGCGGCAGGCCCTCAGTGTTTCAGCCATTACAGCTGCCCTGTCTACGGAACACCGAACGCCGTGTAGAAAGGCACACAGAAGCCCTCGGCTCTTAAGGGCAGGTTTTGCATGGCGACTCCTTCCAGAGAGGATGGAAGGGGAAACGCTGAGAAGAACTCCTCTGCCAGGTGAGCCAGGTCCTAAGAACAGCGAGAGCCTTGGTGCAAAGAGAAGGGCACCTCCCCCCGTGGTTTCCCCTGGAAACCATCATCCCAGTCTAACCGGGAGGGAAACGCTGGGCAAAGAAATCCCCACAGGAAGGCGTCTGCACAGTCCCAACCCACACTCGGCACCCACAACGAGGAACTCCGAGACGGCCACCGCCCAGAGGAGCCCGCTGAGATGTCAGTGACGACTGTCCCGTGGGACCCTGGAGCAGAAAGGGGACAACAAGCAAAAGGAAGGAAGCTTGAGGAGTGTGGACGGGGTAGCGACAATGTATCAGCTTGGGCTGGTCAATGTAACAAACGTGACAATGTATCCAAGTTAGTGTAACAAATGCACTGCTCTCACCAAAGACGTTACCAGCAGGGGAAAAGGGGCCTCCGGGCTGGGTATACGCAACTATTCTGTAAGTTTAGAATCGTCCTCAAATGGAAAGTTTCTGAAAAGTTTCTGAAAAGTAGGGCGATAGTTGCTTGGACACACGCCTCTATTTGGCCTACAGGTCTGAAGGACAGTGCCTGTCCTCACCCCGAATGTGGTCCCTGGAGGGTCAGCGGGTGCAGTCATCACCTGCTCCTGCGAGAGGCGCCAGGGCCCACTCTGCCGAGTGCGCAGGGCGGCTGCCAGCTGCCTGGCGCAGGGGGTCCCCCAGTCTGCAGCCCTGCCCACCACAGGAGGCTGTGAGGCACATGGGCGCGGCCAGCCCAGATTGGGGCTCTCACCTTCCTACCTCCCCTCTTTTACTTAGTTTTGCCCTTTCCTTCCAAACCTGCTCTCCCTTGACCTGAACATGGTTCAAGGGCTTTCTTCTCTGAAACCAAAACACTGGCCAGTGTTCTCCTTCCGGAGCTCACACCTCCCCGCCTCCCTCTCCCCCAGGCGCGTTACCTTCACCTGCCTCTCTCCTGAGCTCCAAGGGTCCTTCTTTTGCCTCTGTAACTTTTTTCTTGAGCCATTTCTTCTACCTGTGTGACTTTCTAAATAAACTTTCTCTTGTTAAAAAAGCAAAAGTGTTGGTCCTAGAATGATTCAACCTCATGCCTCCGGGGACCTAAGCCCGTGTCCCCTTTGCCCTCACGGGGTGCGTGACGGTGCAGCGTCTGAGCTGAGCGCGCCTGAGAGAAGGGACTCGGATCTGAGGCCATGGGAATGGTGCCGAGCAAGACTCTAAGGCTCCCGCTGGGGAAGGTGGAGGAAGGAGGAGTGGGGGTGAGGGTACAGCCTCCCAAGGGCCTTTCAGGGCTGTGGACCAGCCTCCGTCCTTCTAGAAGATGGCCTGGAAAGTTCCGGAACTTCCCTTCTGGCCAGGCAGGGAGGTGCCGGCCCAGTCGCCCAGCCTGCAGGGAGAGGTTTCCCAGCAACAGCCCCCTTACATAATCTGCATCCCGTGACTGCGGGTGCCCGTGGGAGGCAGAGTGGGGGAGCAGGGGCTCGAACCAGTCTCGGAGTCTCGCTGGGGTGTTTCTCCCCGATTGTCTCTCAGCGTCATCCTGCGTCTGCCGGCTCAGTCACCCACCTGCTTAGGAGAAGACGTTCGCTGATAACGCAGATTTAAATAGTTCGGCAGGTGACGAGGCCTCTGGGGAGCCCTGTCCCTGGGCCTCTTCCCTGGCCCAGGTGAGGCAGGGAGGGCCTGGGCCATCCAGCCGCTGCTAGGCCTCAGTCTAGAGCTGGGCCGGGGGGGCCGGGAGGGGCTGGAGGGGCAGGCGAGGTCCCAAAGGGTCAGCAATGTGCCCAAGGGCCAGGTGCCGGTGGTGAGCCCTGGGCCCAGCCTGGTGGCCCCCAGGCACCCCGGGGCTTGGGTGGCCACTCGGCTTCCCTGGGCTCCAGGGAGAGGATTCTTCCTCAGGTGCCCCTGAAACGTCTTTGTTTTCTTATCACGGCTCTTAAATGACCTCAGTTGCCTTGAAAGGGACCTGAAAGGTGTTTTGGAAGGAGAGGAGGAAATCTGTTCTCTGGAACTTGAGACTGGAGGATGGTCTGGCCAACGAACCTGGGCGTGCTGTCGTGAGTCCTCCGAGCGGGACACGTGGGCCCGCAGACGGTGCCTCGCCGCCAGCCTTCGCCGCCGCTGCAGTCACTCCAGACGCCGCCGAGCGCCGAGCTCGCGCAGATGGTTCCGCCCAGGGCGCTGCTTCTAATTTCAGCTGCTGGAGGCTCCGCTCTCTCTCTGTCTCTTTTTATTCCGTGTTTATTTAAAGCCAGATTTTAAAATGTTTTCTCCAGCCCTGAAACCTTTCTCTTGCTGCAGATCCCAAACCTCCACTTGGGAATCTCTAGCTCCCAAAGGGGGGACATTGAGGCTACCTCAGTCCGGGTCTGTGCTCACCTTGCCAGTGGGGCGGAGAAGTGGTGGGGGCCGTCCCCAGGGTGCCCACTGTTGCACGTGGGAGGTGAGTCTGGGGCTGCCCCCCATCTCCGCCCTGACTCGGGTGGGTCCTAAAGCAGCGGGGCCTCTCCTGGTCCAGGTGTGTCCCCTGGAGGTGGGACAGGGCCCAGGTGGACAGTTCTCACCTGAGGGGTCAGGTCTCCCTGTGCCTTGCCTGTTCCCGTGCTTGGCTGTGCTGACACAACACTAGACTGCTCTGGTGGGACACCTGCCTGCTGACCACTTGCACCTCCAAGGGGATGGTGGACGCCCAAGAAACATGAGGTCCAGCTTCCTTTAACCAACACCTCCCTTCCCTCACCCCTTCCGGAAGCTCACCCCAGAATGTGCTAGGACTGGATGAAGGTGCTCAGGCAGAGGTGACGCTGGCTGAGGCCAGGCTGGGCAGACACTGTGGGGACAGAGTGTGTCTGTGAGACCAGGAGCTCCTGGTCATGCAGTGGGAACGCAGAGGGGCTGGGCCGGTGGAGGCAGTGCAGCCGCAGAGCAGCCCTGGGTGCGCGGCGTCCAGGAGCAGGGACCTGGGCCTGGGCTCCCTCCTGGTGAGCGACCAGGCAGCCATGCAAACAGTACTGAGGTGACAGTGCCGCTGGCTCTCTGATCCTAAAGAGCAGTGTCTCAGAATCTCTTCCCTGGCACGTCTGCTCTGAAGGTGAGATGATTTTGAGAAAAATTTCAGTGTCGAGCTTGAAAATATTGCCCATCAGGCCCTGCTTCCTCTCAAGAGCTGGAAGAGACAGACACCTTTGAGGTCCGTGGGACACTGGAGCTGCCCCCAGCTGCCCAAGTGGAGAGAAGGTTCCGTCTGTGGGGAAACAAGTGCTCAGAGCAGGTCGGGAGCCATCCCAGCCAGCCCAGGTGACCTCTGGGGCCTCCACGGAGTGGCCCTGTTGCTGGCAGAAACAGTTCCCGTGGAGACCTGGCAGCTCAGCTGCTACTTCTCACCCAGATTTGCATAGTTGCTCTGCGGAGCCCTTTGGGCACCTGGGCCTGGCTGCAGGGCTGTCTGCGGTGCTGGGTTCGGTGGTGACTTCTCTTCCTCCTTTGGCCTGTGAGTCCGCACAGGAAACCTCAGCAACCTTCACTCCGCCCCAGCAAAGTAAAACCCAGACTCTTCCAGCAGGACCCAGGCTCCTTGCTGGACCCCGGTCCTGGGGGGTCAGGGGTGATGGGGACAGGGTGGGATGGGATGACAGCCCTGTGGTGCATTTTGCTGGACAGGTGCCTCCCTCATGCTTCTGTCTAGTGTCTGAGGTTCCCGGCTGAGTTAGGGGGAGAGGGCCACAGGTGCGCACACACTGGGGTGTATACTAAGCTTTCTCCTGCGGGAGAGGTGACCCAGCACCTACGCCCCAGTCTGCAGAGAGGGGTGGGTGCGGCCTGGGTACCAGGCTAGGGTCCACATCAGGAATCTTTGCTGCCCCCTGGTGGACGGCGCAGAAAGGTGGCGCTGGAGAGCAGAGGCACAGAGTGGTGGCCCCCTGTGAGTGTGTGTGTGTGGGGGGGCGCTGTGCTGGGGACAGGAGAGTGCCAGCATGGACAGGCTGCAGGTGTGGAGGGGTGGTGGCTGGGACAGGGGCAGCTGAAGGCTCTGCTTGCCCGTGAATCAGGCAGTCAACAGGTGGATGTGAGGCCACAGGGTGGGGAGGTGGCACCTCCTCCTCGCCTGTCCCTGCACAAGTGACAGGGGTCTGCCCCAGCACCATGCAGCCCTGACCAGGACCTGCAGGGGAGTGTGTGCAGGACCTGGGTATCTCCTAGGCAACTCGGGCTCTACAGGAATTGTCACTGTGATAGGTGTTTTCAAAGGGCCCTGTGACACCTTCTTTAAAAAACTGAGATAAAATTCACATAAAACTAACCTCTGTGATGTTAGCGCCTCTGTCTAGTTCTGCTTTCCTCACTGGCCCCCAAGCAGCCACCAGTCTTCTGGCCCTTTGGGTTTGCATCTCCCTGATGCCCAGTGGCACCAGCCCCTCTCCATGTGCAGAGCATCCTTTCTGATGAGCCAGGCTTCTCTAGAATTGCAGCATCATTTCAGAACTCCACCAGGGAGGGAGCTCTTGAGAGACATGTGGCCTCCCTGGAGGCTTTGGACCAAAACTTAGCTTCCCGCAGGATGAGGGACTCCCTGGACCCAGCTCAGCTTCCTCTGCGGCCCAGGCAGAGTTCCAGGAGCAGTGAGGACCACACCATGTCTGCGAGTGGAGCCATTGCTGTGTGCCTCTAACATGAAGCCCGTGGTCTGAAGGAGGTGGTGTGTGTGGAACTGAGGGCTCCTGGGCTGACAGGCAGCCCTGCAGGCCCTCCCTGGCTGATGCTCCTTGAAGAGACAGGCAGATGCCTTCTGACACGTGGAGTGAATGGAAAGCCTGACCTGCTGCCTGCAGACGCCTTGGGTGGGAGCCCAGACAGGCTGCAGCCCTGGCAGGAGGATTGTGTGGCCAGGTGGTGGCCAGGAGCCAGGGAGCCGGCTCAGCAACCTGCCGCAGGACAGGTGGGCAGGACATCACACTGGAGCCCGGGCTCCAGAGGGGCTTTCCCAAGGCCACAAGGCTTGGGGGGTGAGGGGGCAGAGCCCCACCCACTCCAGGCCTCTTCCCATGGGGGGTGGGAGAGACCACGCAGCTGTACCTGCTGGCAGGGGCCCCCTATTCCGTCTGTGGGCACTGCTGAGACTGCAACTCCGACCCTGGGGCTGGTGCTGTCACCCACCTCTGCCCGTCGCCTTCCAGCTCTGCCTGCTCTGGTCAGAGCCAAGAGGGGATCTGGGCCCACTCTGCTGCTGGGGTCTGGAGGGGCTGGGGCCATGCTCTGCGCCTCCCTAGAAGCAGGCCATCCATCCCCTCTCTCCTCCCCGGGCCCAGAGCCAGGCTGCAGAGGGACAGGGTCACGGGCCTGCCCCTCCTTTTAGGTGAGAATGGCTGGCCCTCGGGAGTCCTAGGGACAGATGGCAGGAGGTGCCCGGCAGACTGGAACTGGCCATGCTGGTTCCTGCAAAATCCAGAGACTAGCAGGCAGAGCCCCCTGCTGGCAGAAGCATGCGCTGCACCTGCTGAGGATCCCTGCACCTGAAAATCCAGATGCCCGGCTTCTCTCCAGAAGCCCAGCCCTGGCACATCCACAAAAGAGCCCTTAGATAGGATGCCCCCTTCTCTCTCCTCGCTGTTGCCTGCTTGCTCTCTGGGGCATCTCGCTTCTTGCCTGGGCATCCCAACCAGCCCCCGGGGGCACCAAACTGCCCACCCTCCCTCACCATGAGGGTCTGAGCCCCGGCTACAAGTCAGGGGAGTCACACAACAGCTCTTGGACAAGGAGAGGCTATCAGTGCCCCTCTAAGGGAGGTGGGGCCAGAGCGCCACCCTGCATCTAGCTGAGGACAGCTGTCCAGAGGTGACCGAGAGAACCAAGGCCAGCTTGGCACCAGAGCCCTGTCCTGCCTCCTGCCCATGGCAGGGAGAAAGAGAACCTCCACCTGTTCCTGACACCCGGCCCCACTGTGGTGCTGCCCAAACAGGTGCCTTCAAGTGAGTGCGCCATGGGGTTCAAGGGACACCTGGGATAGGTGGGGGCACCTCTAACCCACCCTGGAGCTCCCAACCCCAGTCCACGAGGCGGCAGGCGTGCAGGGTCAACTTTAATGGGGGCCAACCTGTTCGCGGGGCTGGGGAGGTCTCGTTTCTGTTCCTGTTGGGAGTGAAACCCCAGCGAGACTAATCCCAGAGTGAACCGTGATCCAGTGAAGCAACTCCACCTCCACGGCCAGCTCTGGTGGTGACAGCTCAGAGCTGACAGGTCAGCAGGCCCAGGCCTCTGCAGGTTCCCAGGTCTTGGCCACAGGGAGTCCCATAGACACATGTATCCTGTCAGCACCTCCAGGAACCCCAGCAGGACACGCTGGCTGTCTTGTAATGTCTGTTCTCAGCAGGACCCACAAGTGACAGCTGGTCAGGGCTCCTGGGGTCATCAATGCAACAGGGATGGGCCCTTCCCGGCCACACCCCCAAATGCAGACACAGAGCATGGAGAGGTTTCTGACAGAAGCCAGTGGCCATGGGCCCTCGGGGGCCAGGAATAGGAAGTGTGAACAGCACCAGGTGTGTCCAGCTGTCCATGGCCTCATGGGAGCCACAGCTTCAGAAGCTGTGTTTGCGTTTGGCGAGAGGGTTTGAATGTTGCCATTTAATCCGAAATGAGAGCGAGGCAGAAGATCCTGACCCTGGGAAGGCTCCATGGAGTCTCCCTGACAGGATCCCCGCATGCACTGCACCATCAGCACCGTTGGCCTGGCCTGGCACTGGCCTCCTGGGAGCCCGGTCAGGGCTGGCCATACACCCAAGCTCTCTGTGGGCCCCAGTCCCGAGGAGTCCCTGCCAGTCCTGCTCAAGGGGGCTGAGTTAGGAGGCTGCCACCAGGTCCGCCTGCCTGGGCCTGGCCTTGATGGGGACTTTCTCTGTGGAGGAAACAGAGAGACGTTTGTCCTGTGGAGAAATGGCCCGCAGAAGACAGGAGCTCCAGGGTGCGGCGGCAGACCAGAAAGAAGCATCTGTAACCCGCCAGTCAGGGTCTGGTGGGGAATTTCGAAGGCCTGTTAGGGGATGCCAGGGGATGGTCGTCCCAGGGCCAGGACACTTAGAGGACACTGGCCCAGGGTAGCCTGCACAGCTCAACTGGCCTTTTCAGGCTCCTACCTTCAGGACACGCCTCTCCTAATAGGCGTCAGCTCCTCCGAGGTTACCCACCCCAGGGTGAGGCTGGTGTTCACCCACCGAGCCGGGGAGAGGGCAGATCCCCCGGCCAGAGCACTTTGCTCTGTCTAGAACTCACAATTTCCCCAGCACAGAACAGGGAGTACCTGGTTTCTTCTCAGGAAGGGGCTCTGAAGGAACCTCTGGGAGATCGATTTGTTCCTGCAGGAGAAAGGGAAGGGCTGAGACATGACCCAGAGGTCTGCCTTGTTGGGGAGGAAGGGTCCATCCACTACCTGCCCACACTGGGTTAGAGCCCACAGGATCCTACAGCTCCAAGCCCCTGAGGGCACCCTGCTCAGCTGCCAGCATCGCTGAGACAAGTGACGGGTGGCGTCTTCCCGCCCCAGGGCCCTGAGGGGATTCCTGACATCTCGGTCAGAGTCTGGGCCGTGCCAGGACCTTGGGCACCCAGGTCTGCTATGTGGTGGGCTGCCTCTCGGGCCCGGGGCAGGAAGTGAACCAGCAGGCAAGTACACAGGGCCCCACAGGACGAGCAGCGTCGCTAAGGCTGGCCAGCCTGCGGGACAGGATGGGGGACAGGTGATGTGGGCTGGAGCATAGTGGGTGGGGCATCCTAGGGCAGTGGCCCAAAGATGGAGGCTGCCTCGCCAGGGAGCACAGACCTCAGGGCCTGGACGGGACAGTCCTGCCTGGTCGAGGCTTTTGGGGCCGACCTGTGCAGGGCTGTGCAAGACAGAGTGGCTACCCAGGGAAGAAGACCTGCCCGATCGCAAAACTACATCCCTGCCCCCTGGGGAGGAAGGCTGAGGGGACAAGGGCAGTGGCTCTCCGCTGTGTCCAGGCACAGCTCGCTAGCAGCCCCCACCTGCTGGCAACGCTCCTGGGTGCACAGCCCCTAAACCACTTTCCAAGTCAGGCTTCCCTGCTGTCGGCCAGGGGAGCGGGGGACGGGCTCATGTGGCAAAAATGCCCATCGTGTCGGGGACAAAACCAGCCTGTGTGCTCAAGTAAAACCCAACACAGGCGCTCGACAGGCTCAGCCACCGTGACACCCGGAAGCAGGGGCAGTCCCGTCACCTGCGTGACAGCTCGGTGCGCCCGTTACCTGAGTGATGGCATCCAGCTCCTCCAGGACGGCCTGCTCGTCCTCCTGAGTGAAGCTTCCTGCCAACAGCTCATCAATTTGCTGCAAAAGGAGGGGCCAGGTGAAGTGTGGGGCGGGGCCAGGCTGAAGGGGGAGGCAGCCCCTTGGGGGAGGGGCACAGCCTTGGCTCAAGGCCCCTCACTTGAGGAGGTGGCCACCACGAGGCAGCAGACGTTGGGAACCAAGGGTGGCCCGTGGACATTCGCCGAGTTGGCAAGGGCACCCGCTGGCTGGTGAAAGGTGGGCCCCAAGGCCATGGGGACACCTACCCGCTGGTACTCCACAGCCTCCTGAGTCTCGTCCAGCACCCGCTCCACCTCCTCTATGGACATCACCTAGAGAAACCGATGGAAGTTCTCAAGTCTTGTCAGCGAGGCCTTTACAAGAGCCCCTGCGTGTGGGCCGCCTGGACAGTGGGGCACAAGGCCTCACCCCTGTTCCTGTTCAAACAAAGCCAGCCCAGCAGGACACAACACATCACCAGTCACTGTCCCAGGCAGGGCCCTGCCAGGGGCCACAGCGACGGAGGCCCCGGAGCTGCCAGACCAGCCTCCCAGAAGCCTCAGCTGCACTCAGACTCCCACGGTGCTTCTCACCAGACCCTGTACCCAAATCCGCCCCCAGTTTCAGGTGAAAACAAGTAAAAGGTGTGAAACGTTTTCCCTGGGCAGGTGATTCAATTCTCCTGGTGGCAAGTTCCAAGCAGCATCATTGCTTGAGTGGCAGCCACACTCGCCCCAGAAAAGCAGCAAACCAGGCTCTCCACCAGCCACCCCATCTTACTCAGAGGAGGCAGGGGCAGGGTGGTGGCACAGCCTCCCTCGGCTTTGCTCTCCTTTCACCAGCCACAGCCATGCTGCTCTAAGACGAGGCTGTGTTCACCTCCTCCAGGAAGCCCTCCTGGTTAGC